AACCCTTAAGCATTTTCTTACTATAAAAATGGCTTTAAAGTTTGCTCTCTCGTTTAATTGCAATCCTCTGCTGCTTGTGTCTTTTATTTTGACACTTTCTGAGCTCAGACAGACTCTGTGTCTGATTCACAGCCAGTGTCTCTGTCTTTCTCTCTTTTCAGTTCTCTTTGTTTATCCTACATCCTGTCCCCTCCTGCGTTACTTAAAACATTCATTTTTCCCCTCCTGAAACTCTCCCTCCGAATCTCCAAACAGAACTTGGCTCCAGCCTCCCCCTCGGTCAAACAGCGCACAGGCAAACCATCTGTACCTCAAATACCGTGGTTCTGCAGGAATATGTGTGCCTCTGTGTGTTTGATTTCCATTTAGAAAGTGTGTCTGTTTGTTTACTCCGTTGTCTCTTTGAAGGACTGGGTGAAGAAGGGGACCGTTTCCGATCAGAGCTTTGTTGGCGTGTTTGAAAATGAGAAGCAGATGTTGGAACCATATGCTAGAGCTGTCTGCTTTCTCTTCCACGCAAACACACTTGACCCCAACTGGAGTGGGTGGGGTCAAGAAAGGTTGGGGCAGGATAATCTGTGTGTTTGCACTAAAAAAAAAGGGAAAAGCTTAAAAGAGGAAACGTGAATCCCTTAGACTGCTTTTTTTTATTTTTTATTCGGAGACATGTTAAATATAATAAAGGCTGTGGCTGGATGTGGTTAGAATTAAAAGGAAGTGACACATATTAAATATAACTCGCATACACAATGACACACAACAAAGGGCTGACAATTGTATCTGGTTATGATGTGACAATAAACAATTAACTAAGTTAAAAAGGGAAAAAAATAACAAAATTAAACTTTTATGTTAGTTTATAAGTTTTCAGAGGTCAAAGATTTTTGTGAAATCTGGAGCTCTGGTTTTAGAGTAGATTTCAAAAGTCCCCTCCACTGGGAAACAATTGGGAAGTGGAAGGTAAAGCATGCCTGATTTTTCTTATTCTTTCTGTCTAGCAACCCAAAATCTGAAAATTGTTGTTTTTATTTTAATCTGATACCCCTAAATAAAATTCAGTGTGACCAATTGCAATCTGTGTAAATCCAGATGTTCTATGAAAGCCTCAAAGGTAAATGGGAGGTTAATGAGAAGGAGAATCTGAAATCTAACATTCAGGACATGGAGAAGGAAAGAGACTTTTATTGTGGTCAGAAACGAAACATTCAATGGTATGTTAAAAAATACATTAGTGGACAAACAGCAACACAAAGACCAAGACACGCAGCAAATGGGTCAGAGAAGAAATTTTAAAGAGATTTAAAGGGGGATAAAGTCATAAGACCAAAGAATGGCTCCCAATGTGACAGATATGAGTCCAGTTGAGAATCGTAGGCAAATCTAATTGCTGTTCACAGATGTTCTAGTTTGACTTCTTGGAATGAAAAACTGACTGGGACACATCTTGAGTTACACCATGTATTTTTATATGTTCTGCGGATAAAACAGCCTTTAAAATCGATGGTTGTCTGTGTGTCGACACCAGGAAGCTGTACTGGACAGACGGCGACAACATCAGCATGGCCAACACAGACGGCAGCAACCGAAGTGTCCTCTTCACCAACCAAAAAGGCCCTATTGGTGAGAGAACCATTGTCCCCCTGTGTTTGTGACTAAGAGACAGCTCCCCCTAGTGATGAGGTGAGACATTGCTCTTACATACTCTCTTTTGTTTCCTAGGCCTTTCCATCGACTTTGATACGGCTCAGCTCTACTGGATCAGCTCAGGAAACAGCACCATCAACCGCTGCAACCTGGACGGTTCTGGACTAGAGGTGCTGGAAGGCATGAAGGGCAAGCTCATCAAGGCTACAGCGCTTGCTATTATGGGTAGGCCTCAATGTGCCCCTTATCATAAATTCTTTATTTTAGCTGCAGTTTCAGCAGAAAGGTGTAATCTCTATGTTGTGTGATGTTCACCAAAGGGGATAAGCTGTGGTGGGCGGACCAGGGAACTGACCAGATCGGAACGTGTGATAAAAAAGACGGTGGCAACTGGAAAGTCCTGAGGAACAACACTTCACCCATGATGTACATGAAGATCTACAACGAAACTGTGCAAAAAGGTGCAACATTTGTTTTTTTAAAGTCCTTTGAAAGACAAAGTGCATCTGTCTAACAAAGGGTCCAATTTAAAGCCTTTGAATGTTTATCACAGGCCCCTATGTTTATACCCGATTACTCATCTTTGATTTACTTTGTGTGTTTCGGCTCACAGGCACCAATTTCTGCAGCAAAAACAATGGAGACTGTTCCCAGCTGTGCCTCCCCACCTCCCACAACACCAGAGCCTGCATGTGCACTGCAGGATACAGCCTGCGAACCGGGCAGCAGTCCTGCGAGGGTAGGATGTGTTTGCATGCGTACAGAGATCCTTATTTCAAACAAATTCTGCTTCATGGGCTAACATAAATGGTCAGGGAGTGACTCAGACATTTCTAAGATTTACTTTTGTGTTTATTGCAGGAGTGGGCTCCTTCCTTCTGTATTCTGTTCATGAAGGCATTCGGGGTATTCCTCTGGACCCTTCAGACAAGTCGGATGCTCTAGTACCTGTCTCTGGCACCTCACTAGCTGTTGGCATAGATTTCCACGCTGGTAAAGTTTTCTTTTTATCTCCCCTCTCTGACTTTCTGATTCTAATTTCCTTTTACTGATCAGGAAGCCTGTTTTCTTTTGTTTGCTGTAGAGAATGATACCATCTACTGGGTGGATATGGGCCTGAGTACCATCAGCAGGGCCAAGAGAGATCAGACCTGGAGAGAAGACGTGATTACCAACGGCATCGGGAGAGTGGAGGGGATTGCTGTTGACTGGATAGCTGGTGAGAGGCATCACCAAAAAAGACTGAATAAATTAAAACTTAAGAATGGGGGGGAAAGCAATGCAGTCATTTGCTAGTTATATAGATAATTTTAGTGTTTTTTTTTTTGCATTTGACATTTAAACCAAGATGTTGTTAAGTGCATAACACTTACAGTGTAAAAGAAAACAGAAAACCCTGCAAAAATATAAAAAAGGGACACATGAGCAAAACTTCTATTTCTTAGACTATACATACAGTGGACGTGCATTTTCCCTACAGATCTGTCTGTTCTTCAACATTTCTCCCCTGTCCTACAGGAAACATTTATTGGACCGACCAAGGTTTCGATGTGATCGAGGTGGCTCGCCTGAATGGCTCCTTCCGGTACGTTGTGATCTCCCAGGGCCTGGACAAGCCACGCGCCATCACCGTGCATCCGGAGAAAGGGTGAGAATTACAAAATGAAATGCGTGGTGCAGCTTAACCACCACATTTGTAGTTTCAGTTTACTATTGATTACACCATTTAAGTGTTTCTGTGCTCCTACATGTTTTTGCTGGCAGCTACCTGTTCTGGACAGAGTGGGGTCAGTACCCCCGCATCGAGCGGTCCCGCCTGGACGGTTCACAGAGGGCGATCCTGGTCAACGCGAGTATCAGCTGGCCCAATGGGATCTCCATTGACTATGAGGTAAGCCACAACGGAGCACTTCTTGATGTTTTTAAGATGACGGTGCAGGGAGTGTGCAGCATCATGATTACTTCATGTTGGTGTGTAGGACGGTCTGCTGTACTGGTGCGATGCCAGGACAGACAAGATTGAGCGTATTAACCTGGAGACTGGAGAAAACAGGGAGGTGGTGCTGGCCAGCAACAACATGGACATGTTCTCTGTGTCTGTGTTTGAGAGCTACATCTACTGGAGTGATAGGTCAGATATTCCCCAGCTGCTCATTATGATTTTCTTTTCGTTTCCAAGCATTAACATCTGATGAACGCTTTGTATTTCGCATAGGACACATGCGAATGGTTCCATTAAAAGAGGCAACAAGGACAATGCATCAGACTCCGTCTCTCTGAGAACTGGTATTGGTGTTCAGCTTAAAGACATCAAGGTTTTCAACAGGGCCAGGCAGCAAGGTAAGCAAAGCCAAAGAAGGCGAAAAAAATATTCATAATTTGATGTAAAACTCAACGCAGTTCCTTATGGGTGTGTCTGTTCGCAGGAACAAATGTGTGTAAAGTGAACAATGGTGGCTGTGAGCAGCTCTGTCTTTACCGCGGCAATGGCCAGCGCACTTGTGCCTGCGCTCACGGCATGCTGGCCGAGGACGGCCGCGGCTGCCGTGACTACGACGGCTACCTTCTCTACTCGGAGCGCACCATACTCAAGAGTGTCCACCTGTCAGATGAGAACAACCTGAACGCGCCCATAAAGCCGTTCGAAGATCCGGACCACATGAAGAACATCATCGCTCTCACCTTTGACTACAGAGGAGGAGGAGGCAAAGGAGCCAACCGCATCTTCTTCAGCGACATTCACTTCGGTAACATCCAGCAGATCAGCGATGATGGATCGGACCGCAAAACTGTCGTAGAGAGTGAGTTTCCCTACTTTTCGGTTTTAGTTTTGCAACCCGGTCAACTTTTATCTCTTCATAAAAACATTCAGACTTTTCAAGTTGCATTTTGGAACATTAAAAACAAACTTTTGGGGGGGTTCCTCTATGATAAACCACCACAAAGTAGTTCATAGCTGGAAAACAGAAAGAAACTCAATCACAGTACTATAAATTGTACTCATAAGAATTTGAAAAGTATGGCATAGATGTATTTGTATTTAGTCCCTCTGAATCAAAATACTTTGTAGAAATTGTCTGGTCAAATGCCCCATATGCAAAACAAAAAACTTCAACAAATATTTTCTCTATTTATCTTCTTTCTTTTTTATTCCCACATGCTCCTCCAACATTCAAACCCTGTCATTTGCCAAACTGTGTTTTTTTTCCAACCTCTTTCTTTTGGTTTTAAAAAAGGGCTTGTGTGTAACCATCAGCCCCCTGATGAGAAATCTTCCTGGAGAAGAAAGCTGCAAGATTTTCCACAGAACCTCCCACTTATGTAAACAGAACAAGGAAATCTTTCTTCTGAAGTTGTTGCCAATCCCAAAATAAAGGGGGATTATTTTTTTATTTATCCTTTGAGAACAAAATGGACAGGAGGTCCAGAAACAAATAGGCCTTCATTTACTTTATCTGAGCACAACAAAACACAGGTGCAGTGTTAATGTTTTACCAAAGTAGCTTTGCTTTAATCTGTTTAACAAGGAATGTGATTCAGAATTGGTTCTTCTACTGCGCCCGTAAACCATCCACACCCACAGCAAATCTTGTGATCGTCTTCTGCAATGCAGTTCTCCTATCTGTAATCTACACTACAGATAAAATAAATACATGTTTATTTCTATTTCTTTACCAAATAATGCGTTCAGATTTAACAAATGCTGTCTACAATCATCGTTTTTTATGTTTTACCACAGGCTTTTAACTAGATTGAAGTCTGGACTTTAACCAGGTCATTTACACATGACTATGCTTTGATCTATATTGCTGGCTCTCAAACATTTAATAGTAAGTAACACCCAAAGTTTGACAAGTACCACAATTTGAACAAACTCGTTTAAAACAATGGGAGAAAGGAAAATAAGCTTCATCATTTGTTACTCAACACTTATAATTGGTCAGAAGAGGGAGTGTAATTTAATGTTCTATTGTTGTTCTGAAATGTACATTTGCAAGATTTAAAGTTGGAGAAATGAATAGATTCTGAGTCCACGTCAGAGGATTCCTACCAACCCCAACGTCAAAACCCAAAATGGCTACTTTACACTTTAGTCGTGGCTGAATATGAACAGGAATAACTTTTCATTTGTACTTTTAATACAAATCACATACTGTGCTATATTAAACTAGATGGTGTGCTGTTTGACAGTACAAATCTCAGAAATATTATTTATTACATTGTATTGCTACTGACAGGTCTCCTGATCAACAAATAACATTCATTAATGAACAAATTTTATTGATTTTCTTACTTGAAATAGAAATAAATTTAGATTTGATGCTTTTTGCTGATCTGAGGTTGAACTTTACAAAGGCATAAATCATCAGCTTTTGCTCATCATCAGTTGCTACACAATTATTACATTCATATTTTTCTTGCAAATTATTAATGCTAAGATTTAATCTAAGTACCTCTGAATGCAGACCATAAATGCCTTTTAGTTCGAGCTGCAATGTGTTGCTGTACAGACTACGACCTTAAACATGCAGTCAGTTTTCTTTAGTGGGTTTGCTGTATCCGCTACATGGTTTGTAAACAGTCAAGCCTTTTTATGTCTTTTATTTCCCAGGAATGGACAATTCCTACTGTTCTTGTAAACCATCTGGACACAAAGCAGATTTTAAGATCGTTAATGCGGCTCAAGGGTCAATATCGGTTCACGAGTGGCATAGCTTTCCAGTTCCAGTCTATCATTGATGTCAAGTGGCAGCCATTTTATTCACAGGCCTTACAGCATAAAGTTTGTTCTCCAGTCAGTGAGTTGGTTACATAATACTGTCAGACAGCAGACAACACCACATTGTTCTTTACATTTTGCCGTTCCCGTTTGAAAATCCTCAGCAGATCCTGTCTGAACCTTTGGGACATCAGGACATAGAGGATAGGGTTCATCACTGTCGAAGAGGTTGCCATTAGGCGAGCAAACACACTAAAGGCGCCATAACGCGGCGTGGCCCCAGTAGCCCCCGAGTTTGGATTGGCCAGTAAGGTCAGCGTTAGTCCATATGAGGGCAGCCAGCATACAGTAAAGGCCAGTACCAGCATGGCTGTCGTCTGAGTCACTTTGCTTTGATAGCGCTCGACTTGGGGTGCCCTGCCAGCTTGCTGGCCCCGCCACAGGAACATGTAGATGCTGCCGTATGCCACCGCGATGGTGACCAGTGGAAGCAGGAAGGCTACGAGGAAGTGAAACAGTCCGTAAATCATCTGCTGCTCATGAGATAGGAAGGCAAAACAGGTGAGGCCATCAGTGATTTGTCGAGGGGGTCCCACGGAGCGGAAAGCCAACTGGGGGGCTCCGAGGGAGCAGGCTGGGACCCAGATGAGGACGGCGATCATGGAGACCCTGCGAGGGGTAAGCAGGCTGTATGCTCTGGTGGGTTTCACCACAGTCAGATAGCGAGAGACAGCCAGCGCCGCCAGGGTGAAGACGCTGGCGGACGAGCAGGCAGATCCCAGGAAGCCCACCAGACGGCACATGACGTTCCCAAACGGCCACTTCTGCATGGCGATGGAGACTGTATAGAAGGGAATCGTGGAGAGCAGAAGCAGATCTGCAGCGCTCAGAGCCAGCAGCAGAATGTCCGTTCCCGTGCCCATCGTGGACATCTGGGGGGCTTGTCCAGTGCGTCCCGTCCCCCTCCTCTGTCGTCCACACAAGATCACCATCACTAAGCTGTGTCCAGTAACTCCCAGGATCAAAATGAGTGAATCCATTATGGGGACGAGGATCTGCTCCACGCTGCTGCTGTTCCCCACCAGACCCTCTGGACCAGAAGAGTTCAGCATCCTGTCCTCAGTCCAGGTCATTCTGACGCTCTTAACGCTCCCCAACAGCTTGTTCAGTCATTTCACTCAACCAGTCATAAAACAGTTGATAATACCCGTAGAAAGGATTAGTCACAGTCAATAACAGTCTTCCAAGAAATTACACCACACGGATGGCCTCACTGTTCCAGACACGTAACAGTGAGGGTGCTGACAATTACCAGGCAGTTTTTAGAGGAGAAGGTGATTGTTAAATATAAACACCTGCTTCTTCTTGACATGCTCCTATCAGGACACGACCGTCAACATAACAGGCTTGTTTAGTGATGCATCTATTTTCCATGTGTCGTCCAATCAGCTGGCTCCCAATTGGCTCTTTGCTCCTCTTTGGTCTCCCGTTGAGCTTGAATGAAAGCTGTGAGCTCAGGTCTGACACCTCACAGCAGCCCACCGCTCCACATCACTTCTCAGTCGGACAAATCAATCCACGGCCCTCTTTTCTCCGCAGAGAGGGATATTCTGCAAAGCGCATTGGGAGCGTGATTGAGCGGAGAAGGTGAAAAGCTTGACTGTAAGCGAATAAGTGGTAGGTGAACTCTGGACTGATTATGATCCAGCACAGCAGAGATGGGTTGGTCGGCTCTTTGTGGGAGGACCTAATGAGGCCTAGCAGCGTTTTCTTTTCTTTTCCTTTTCCCATGCTTCATTATTTTAGTTTCTTATCAAAAAGGATACGATTTGTTTAGAAGTCCTTGTGCATGCATGTACAAAATATGCATAGATACTATAAATAAACAAGAGGAGTCAGTGGAACGGCGTTCGCCTGCAAAATCTGGGTAATTATTGACTTCCAGCCTGAAAGCAAACACTGAGCAGCTATCACACCTACTGCAGGCAGCTGCCATAAAATCTGTGTCAGGAAAGCCACCATTAGGAGTTATAAAACTGGGACTCATCTGTATGATTGGCAACAGCAAATGTATACATGCTGAGACAGTTTAGGTCAACAAAAAGATCAAGGAGTTTGTGTAAAAAGGACAATTTGGAGATTTACAGCTCATTAGCAGCTCTAAGGAGAGAAGGAACAAGGAAGAATATATTATACATACATCGATTTTTTACTGCGCAGTGATTTATGAATGCAAAAAAAGCATTGTTTGGCAAGTTGCTCAACGTCAGAGCAGCATTGCTTCACTTAGAAACCTTCATAACAGAAACAGTGATTCATGTCTGGTGTTGGACTGAAGATGTGCCTCATCTGGCAAGGCGCCTCGCTGGATATTTGGCCAGAAGTGGGAAAGATTTAGGGAGGTTGTATCCAGTCCTGACAAAAGACCTCTTTTATCATTATTAACAATGTTCTATGGATGAGAGCATAGTAAAATATGCGTAGTCCATATATGTCCATCCGTCTGTTGAAGAACCGTGTAACGAAAGGAACTATTACATAAGTTTATTTTTATTTTTAAGCAGTCCTGCTCTTAATGAAACCTTGTAAGCGTGCTTGTGTGGCTGTTTCTCATTAGCAGCACAGCTGTTCTCAGTCTGAACTTTGTGTTCCTCTATCCTCTGGTGTACTCTACCTCCCTACAGGCAGAAAAAGTCACAACCTTTAGCTCATTTCAAAGTTGTGCAACAGAAAATCCGTTGATGATGTAGTGTAATAAAAAGTTAGCTTGTGTCCTTTTAGCATTGTGGTTGTTGGATAAAAGACCTGAATGACATATTACTCCCTTTTACAGCAAGCTGTCATGTCCAGAGTTGTGACTTTGTGATACTGCGTTTGGCATTTGAACACAACCTGTGACTGACATGCTTCTTTGCTTTCCTTCCTGTGTCAGATGTGGGCTCTGTGGAGGGCTTGGCGTACCATAGAGGCTGGGATATGTTGTACTGGACCAGCTACACTACGTCAACCATCACCCGCCACACTGTGGACCAAAGCCGCTGGGGAGCCGTTGACCGGAACACCGTGGTCACAATGTCTGGTGACGACCACCCGAGGGCGTTCGTGCTTGACGAGTGTCAGAGGTCAGAGCTGGTTTGGCTCTCAACTTTCACACATTTGTTCTTAACACTAACCATGTCTGTGTTGCGGTATCTCTCCCGACAGCCTGATGTTTTGGACCAACTGGAATGAGCAATCTCCCAGCATCATGCGTGCAACGCTGGCTGGTTCTAACGTCCTGGTGATCATCGGCACAGATATCAGGACCCCCAACGGGCTGGCCATCGACCACCGAGCTGAAAAGCTTTATTTCTCTGATGCCACCCTTGACAAGATTGAGCGCTGCGAGTATGATGGCAGTCGGAGATACGTACGTAATCACGTATCCGACCTTTGTGTGGCTGTTCTAATAGTAACAATAGCATATGTGTGCTTGTGATTTCCTGATCAACAGATGTCATAAACTGTTCTTTCTACCTCAGGTGGTGCTGAAGAATGAGCCGGTCCATCCGTTTGGCCTGGCTGTTTACGGAGACTACATCTTCTGGACAGATTGGGTCAGGAGGGCTGTGCTTCGGGCCGACAAATACACCGGGGGTGAAATGAAGGTGTTGCGTGCCGACATCCCCCAGCAGCCCATGGGCATTGTTGCCGTGGCCAACGACACAAACAGCTGTAAGTCAGTGCTCAGCATGATGTGTGGAGTGATTACTTTGTCATTATTGCAGCTCTCCACAAATAGCCTGACTTAAAAGGCATCATGTGCAGAAAAAGCTGATCTAGGTTTTTGTCAATATTTGTGCGCATGAATTCAGATTGTGTTTGCAAATTATATGGTGTTCTCTACATTTTGAGACAACACCGTTGCTTGCAGAGAAACATGTAAGCCTTTAAATAGTATAGATATCTGGATCTGAGGGCTTGATATTCAAGCATGAGAAAATCCTGGGCTTCTTTACTTGGGATCCGGTATGATTACTATATGATAAATTATCTTGCCGTTGTTGCAAGGACTAATTTCTGGGTACCATGTGCAGCTTTGTTTACTTCTCACAATCCTCTTGTTTGCACAGGTGAGTTCTCTCTGTGCCGAGTCCATAACGGAGGATGTCAGGACCTGTGTCTGCTGAGCTCTGAAGGAAGAGTCACCTGCGGCTGCCGTGGCGAGCGAAAGCTTTTGGAAGACAACACCTGCACTGGTACGACGAGATCCAGATTAATTACAAACAGTCTGGGTGAACGTATGTGGATCCATAATCAAGAATTAATGCGTTCTAAATCTTAGATTCTATATTATGAGGATGTTTTCACCAATCTATCTATTGCTTCTGCTCTCTGATCACATATCTAAGGGAATAGCCTGCAATTAATAATTTAAGAAATACGTTTTGCCAAACAAACAAAAAAACACAATATTTTGGAGTTAATTTTGGTTTTTAATAAGGTTTAAATTGAAAACGTTCACTTTTGCCCTCCTCTGTTTGTGCCTCAGGCGTCAACTCCACCTGTACAGGCGTAGATGAGTTTGAGTGCGGAAACGGAGACTGCACGAACTACACTCTAACTTGTGATGGCATGGCTCACTGCAAGGACAAGTCTGATGAGAAACAGTCCTACTGTGGTGAGAATAATCTTTCCTCTGTACAATAATGTATTTTTCTTTCTGACATTAGAAATTTCACCCCATTTCTCTGCGGTCCTTAGCCAATCGCGTGTGCAAGAAGGGCCACAAGCGGTGTACAAATGGCCGCTGTGTGGGGCACAGCTCCTGGTGCAATGGGCAGGATGACTGTGGAGACAATTCGGATGAAGTCCTCTGCAATAGTGAGTCTACTTTGAGAAAACAGGGAGAACAGTGGAGTAAAATTACCATAAAAGATTGTGAAAGGGTTTAAAACTAAAGTGCTAAATAATTGGGAATGGCTAAAATCTGCTGAGTTTTCCAGTTTTGAATGGTAATTTGCCTGAACACTTTCTCCAGCCACCTTGTGCTCAGCCGATCAGTTCCAGTGCAGAGACGGAAGCTGCATCTCCAACTCCAGCAAGTGTAACCAGAAAGTGGACTGTGAGGACGCGAGTGATGAGATGAGCTGTCGTAAGTTGATCCAGCCTCTTGGACAGAACAGTAATAATTTTGTGCTAAACTCAGCATGTCGCTCGGAGGCTTCAGCTTTTGTTTGTTTTTCTTCGCGAAGCTCCCACGGACTGTTCCTCTTACTTCCATCTGGGAGTGAAGAGTGTGATGTTTCAGAAGTGTGAGTTCACCACGCTCTGCTACGCCCCCTCATGGCAATGTGACGGAGCCAACGACTGTGGAGACTTCTCGGATGAAAGGAACTGCCCAGGTGCTTTGAGTCTTCATCGACTGATATGTCGAGTATTCATCTTAGATTACACCAGAAGGAACAGAAAAATAAAAAGAGAACAGTTTGAGGTTTTTCTTGTGAAAAAGCTTTTTCCTCTCATACCAAAGTGCTTATCTCTGACTTTGCTCTATCAGGGGCCGGCAGGACGAAGTGTCCCCTGCCCTTCTTTGCGTGCCCGAGCAACCGCTGCATCCCCATGAGCTGGACGTGCGACGGTGAAAATGACTGCGAGAACGGTGCCGACGAAATTAACTGCGGTACGACCTGAGACGAGCTGAAATCCTTATTTTCCTGGAGGAGTGATGCCTCTTTCATACCCCTATCTTTGTTTTTGCAGATAAGGTCTGCTCACCGTCACAGTTTGAGTGTAAGAACCACCGCTGCATTTTCAGCCGCTGGGTGTGTGACGGGGCTGACGACTGCGGTGACGGCAGCGACGAGGACGTTCACTGCAGTAAGTGCATCAAAAAATATACATTTGTATCATGCAATATTCATATTGAGTTGAAATGATTTACACATAAAAATGGCAGCACGCATTTGTGTTCAGCCTCCAATACTCTTATACACCTAAATAAAATCCACAAAATTATAACAAAGAACAAGAAACACAGCAGAGACAGTATGATGAAACAATCAAATGATGTTGGTCAAACCATGTTCCTGTGTTAGAATGGCCCAGTCAAAGTTCAATAGAGTGGTTCCTGTCTGACTGATTGCAAAGAACCTAAGAATCAACTTTAAAAATGTTTATTAAGGTGGGTCGATTATAAACACCCATCACACTTTTCACATTTTTTTGAAAGGCATTTAAAAGCCATGGGAAGATTTTTTTTCCTGTTTCACAGTTTTACACGATTTGTTGTTCTGTCAGTTAAAGATCATTTAGTGAACTTTGAGGCCTGTGGCTGCGCCTTGAGAAAATGTGGGTAATAGATGCATTCAAGGGGTAGAATTACATCTGCACTGTAAATAAATGGAAGGATGGCGCACCTGGGTGTGTTTTTTTATGTTTATGTTTTTTTATGATACTCTAAAAGACATGAGACTGAGGTGTCACATTTTTTTATAGAGAATAAAAGCTGCAGTCCAGGGACATTTCGATGTCCGGGGTCCAATGTGTGCATTCCTCAACGCTGGAAATGCGACGGCGACAAAGACTGTCCCGATGGGGTGGACGAGAGTGTCACAGCAGGATGTGGTGAGCTGAAACCCTCAGCTCTGTTTGAGGAGGAAATAAATCACTTGTTTTCTCACCAAATGATTTCTGTCTCAGTCTTCAACGACACATGCAGCGGGGACGAGTTCATGTGCCAGAGCCGAGAGTGTATCCCCAAGCACTTCGT